TAATTTATAAGGCAAACTTGAATTATGTATACTTCAATAATAACTTTTTTAATAGCAAGGTTATATTTAAAAAAAATTTATTTACAAACTATAGTATACTATGTATTATGGATAGTACATATTATTTGAAGATATACTATTCTTAATATATAATATAGTTAATAAAATAAAAAACTTATAAATATAACTTATTCTTTTATGTATATATTATAGGAAAAATGTTTGTCCTTTAAAAGAAGGATTTTATTTTTCTTATGTCACGTAAGATAAATCTTTTCTCCTACTCTCACAACAAATGGTGGGACCCACTTTATTTTTAAAAAAAGAAAAGAGAAAAAAACATAGCATGAAAATCAAAGTGAGAGTAGAAGATAAAATTTGTCTCGTGTGATATAAGAGAAATAAAACCCTTTAAAGAATATAATTTTATATCATTTTAGATCCTAATCGTTGATTTTCATCAATTAACGGTTACAATTTATTAGATTTTATTGTGAATTAATAATTAATTAATAAACTTGACTCAATAAATTCTAACCGTTGATTGATGAAAATCAACGATTAAAATTTAAAATGACATAAAATTATATCATTTAAGATTACATACACTTTTTTCATATATCAAATGGAAAAAAGAGCGCTTCTATTGAAAGGTGGACCTGCCTCTCTCAAACATTATGTTTCTTGTTGGGGAAGTAATTTTTCATTTGAACAAAATTTTTTGGTTTAGCGACTTGGATTAATCAATGGTGGATATTAAAAGAAACTGAGCTGTTAATTAAAAAGTTAATGTGCAAATGTTAAGTTACAATTTATAGAAATAAGTTATTCTACCTACTATCTTTTTTATCTATTATCTTTCAATATCGTTAGATCAGAATGTTAAGAAGAGAGAAAAAAATAAATATTAATTACGATTCTGATATAACGATATTGGAGATGAAAGGTAAGCAGAAAAAATTATAAATAAAATTACCTATCCCTATTTTATAATGATAAAACTTAAACTATCGAAATTATCCTCGTGTAATAATGACGACGACGATAACGCCATATCAGTTCGTGTCAAAGACACCAATAAAGATGAGCGATGTTACGTGTGATACAATTAAAAAACACATTTTTCGCACTTTTTTCAGCAAGTACTTTTATAGCAAATGAATCTTAAATTTTCTCTTGAACAGTTTACATTACTCGCATCATCTTACATGTGTAAGGTTTACTCCTAAGCACTACCTCCATTGTGCATATATGCCCAGCTTCTTGCCGTGTTAGCATCATAGCATGGATATCCTAGTATTCTACCACTGGAAACGAGAATATATATAGCTTTCGCGTTCTGATATAGGTGAGTCAAACTCTTCAGACACAGATTATCTGTTTAACAAGTTCGAAGATAAATTTGTACTGTGATGACAAATATTTGAGTTATTAAAATAAGGAAAAAAAAAAACTCATATTACAGGAAATTTCTAATCTTATCTCATAAATATAATAAGTGTGGGATTTAGAAGAAGAGTTTATTTTCTCCTACATAAAAAAAACAAATCCCTTAAAATAATTAATATTTACTGAGTTGCACTTCTGAAAAAAATTCTGGACGTAAACACTTTTTGATTTTTTTGAAATTATTGAAACTACTATAGTACTATAATTTTTGAAATTTAGTTTTTTTTTTTTAATGCATATTTGAATAACCAGTAATGCAATAAATGAAGGTCTGTTACGCATTTTCCAAAAACACAAAAGGTCCAACCTGGGATAGTGAATTGGCTTCAGCTCTCAGATCCGCATTCAATGCAAGACCACAGAAAGCAATGAGCTATAACGGAGAAACACCAAGTTGGGTAAGTTGTGTTTGGTCACACCTCACGTGGAAATTAAATTTCTCGGAAAATGAGGGTATCATTGTTAGGTCATTATCTCACTAAATACTGAACAAACATTGATTATGGTCTTAAAGTTTGCATCCCGGATTGGTTTCCCCGAAGCTCTTAATTAGACAAATAAAAACCTGCAGTGTGTCTGTTTATTTGTCTGAATGGGAATGGACGAAAAAGAAAAGAAAAGGAGCAATTTTAATTAGATTATTACGTGGCTCCCATAACAATACCATGGACTCGTATTTTTGTTTCCTAGTTTTTGATGAATAATTAAATTTCACATTAAATCGATATACAAATATTGGAAGTAGTAATCTAATCAATTGGTTTAAGAAGGTCAATAATGTTGATGAAATGTTTTGATTGGTTTGAGTTTACATAAAATATTAATATTTTGTGCCCGTCTCCCTGTATGGTAGAAGCTACTATCCTGAAAACCTAAATTTACTTGGTTAGCCGTGAATGAAAATTTTAAAAAATAAATAAATGATAGTGTGCAGGTTTAGAAGCTTCGGTGCTAGACAGGAATCTCCGCTTAACATGCTCCCTTTCTTTTTATCTTTGTAAAATGTGTTTTGCGTTAAAACAAAGCAAGTTCAGGTAGGCAAAAGGAACACGAGAGTTTGAAGCTAGCAACCTATTATTAGTTATTAATTACGCTTAGAGCTAGGTTTGACCCTTTTAGATTGGTCCCACCCCTTATATCTGAGTCTGAGGCAAAGCCTTTGGTTTTCGTTTAAACAGTTCAGTGATCGAAGTGGAGATTTATTCAGAATCCCAATAATACATCTCAACCATTTGTTTATTACATTCTAAGATAAGGTATATATTCGAGCAGCCATTTTTTGTTTTTAAATTTTTGACATTTTGAAATTATTGTGCATTAGATTGCGGAAAAGCAAATTGCCCCACCTGCAAAACCAATAATACCATATTGCACCACAAAAAAAAAAAAAAAAACATATTCATATATATAAAAAAAATATTTTCTACCTAGTGAGAAGCAAAAAACATTTCTCTATCACTAAGAAAAAAAAAAGTATGGTTCATCATTTTATAAGTTTTTCTTTCTCTCAATGATAGAAAAATATTTTCTGCCTTAAAGGCAGAAATCATTTTTCTTATATATAAACAAGTAAAGTACATCTATATATTAAATGCCATCATAGGTTTTTGAAGTGACATTTAACTGAATAATAGCAACAGATTATGGAATCTTTTATTAGTTCACGGCTAGTTATGTCTTCGTTACGAGATTCAAATCTAAAACAAAAATCAGTAGCAGAGATTCACGTTGTCTAATTTGTCTACCTCTGTTTTCAGATAAGTTAAATTCAATTAGGAGGAATAAATTCACAAACACCCCTTCCATTCAAAAAATAACATTTGGATTGATTTTTTTTTTTTCTCCATTGACCCGTCCCAAGTCCCAACCATGCCCGCGTACGCACTAAAGTTATTATATTTATGAAGTTCAATAATGCTATTCTTTCTCTATTTTTTCGGTTTTAGAGGGAGGGTGGAGAGGGACTCATTTAGGTTGGATTTGGCAAAATATCAATTCATTGTTATCATTTAATTCCTCATAGACGATAGTGAGTGCATTCTTGACATTCTTTTTATCCTCTCGACAACATGTCTCTCTTGTTTTATTTCCAACAACCACTAGTAATCTTGAAAGTGAGTGACAACGATTTAATTTCTTATATGCTATTAGGCGGTCTATTGGGGATAAGGTGTCCAACCAAGCTACAGAGGAAAATAAATAAATAAATAAATAAATAATAAATTGTGGGTATCTGAATACGCAGCTTGAATCTGAACAATTATTTTAGCCATTGCAAAGCTGAATGGCAGTTTTTTGTACTCATCCCGAATCTTGCAGGCAGCTATTATTGGATTCGGAAACATGGATGACATTCCAAAATTTACAAACATAATACAAGAGCCATATAGAGACAACGTTTTTCAACACAAGCGTGTGATATATAAGATAAACATACATACATGTATTCAAATATATACTCTAGTTTTTTCTCTGGGCCAAGATCATGATAATGCTGCATTGCTGCAGTCGCACAGGATACGAGTTCAGCGGGACCACGCCAAAATTCTGAGCTGGATTCGTACCCATCATTTGATATTTTGATAATGACTGGTTAATTCAAAACTAACGGCTCTGATCTCCCTGCCTATTTCACCTTTGATCAACTCAAGTTCAACTTATTTAATGGTGGATATGCCACCAGCCGGGCAGCTACACGTGGATATGGATTGCACTGAATGATAGTTCTCCACTTCTTTGTCATATTATACCTTATTTTACTGTTATATCAGAGACATTAATTACCACATCGATTTTATTTTTTTTTAAAAAGAAATTCTATAATTTCTAATTTTAAGAAGAAGAAAAAAAGAAAATCGATTTATAGTCAAAATCCTTTCTTATAAACTAGTCATATTAAATTACACATGTCACATAATGAATTGCAAAAATTTATTAATAGATAAATAATCAGCAAATTAACAATGAGAGGAGTAATACTGTATGTCTGTAATTTTCAATACTAAATAAGCTAAACATTCAACGATTTTATAAAAAAATTGTTTTTTTTAATGTTTGTGACGTGTCTCCCTCCAGTTGGCGTTACTTCTGTCAAATAGTTTTGTCATAAATTATAGAATGCCGTTGAAACAAAGCACTAACCTAATTTTCTTCTAACAGGTTCATATGTTCTACATTTAATAATTACTATAAACAACGTCATGTTTGCTGAGAAAAACTATGTTCAGATTGAGAAAGAAGAGACACTGTCCTATCGCAGTGAAAGCAACCAGAGGATTTGCTATCATTTAGCCACATATATATAGATTGATAAGAGATAATGACTTTTACAGGAATGGTAAGCATAATTTAATTAAAGACAAAAATCGGAATTTCCATTCCTTTGTCTTCCCATGCAATAAAGGAAATAGTAAGTGACAATCTCAGATTCTCAATTTCCCCTCGCACGGTTGCATTTACTCCATACGTGTGCACAGTCATGAAAAAAAAAAAAAAAAAAAAGTGACTTGTAACTACTGAGTATACTACACAGAATTCCCCTCAACCTTAAATCAAGTATTTGAAGACGAAGATGAAGCCTCATCTTTGTGTTTAATCCCCTTCCTAACATGTTCTAACAACAAAGATGAACTAGGAGTACGAACCTCAGCTTCCAAACAAGAAACACACCGAGTGCTGCAAGAAGACAGAGAAGAACTATGAAACGATAAAGGAGAAGAAGGAGAATGGGAAGAAGAAGAAGATGATGATGATGAACCTAAAGCAAATGCAAGACCAACCAATAAATCAACAAAAGCACCAACAATATAGCCATGATTGATTTTCCCATTGACCCTCAAATACCAACATAAAAGCTCCTGAAGACCCTCCCAATCTTTCACACCCTGAGCCGCTACCATCTCCTCCATGGACTTTCGAAAATCAACATAAGGGTCTTGAGATTCCATGGATAAAACCACACTGTCTTTGAATGGCAAGCTTGTTACTTTAGCCTCTAATATAGAGCTGGTCTCATCTGGCTCGAAGAAAAGCCTCTCAGAACGCAACCCACGAATCACAGTCTCAATTGAATCCTCTTTTATGGATTCCTCAGATGCCATTGAGAAGCTATCAGACTTGGGAGAAACGGTGAAAAATGATTCAGAGCTCTCCAAGATGTCCATGGTGGCATCCAAGTAGGCTGAGTTAATAGTTTTGAATGTGTCATCTTTGGCTCTAAAAGAGAGGGTTCTAGGTTGGTGACAAGATGGCCAAGGCCAAGAAGAAGAAGAAGAAGAAGAAGAAGAGAGAGACAGAACTTGTGTGTTCTTAAGAAGAGAAAGGAGCTTCATTTTTTTCTTGCCCATCTGGTTTTTGATGTGAAATGTGGATTCAAATGAATTTTGGAGCTTTAGAAATGTGAGTTAAGTCGATTGGGGGCATTAATGGCAGGTCAGATATGACTCCTGCCCTTGGGAGGGAAGATTTTAAAGATGTGGTGGGACACTTTTGAAAGCTGTATTGGGGTAATGGGGTCAGCTTACCGGATCTTCTTATTAAATTTTTTCAGGCTCTGGAAATAAATGTAACTGCAAAATTATTAAAATATATTTGTTGAAGTATTTCTATTCTTTTAATATTTAATAGTTAATTATAGCGAAAATTATTTATACAGTTGCGGGAATCTATCGTATACACAAAAATGAAATAGAGAAACTACAAAAAAAAAAAATGAGAGAGAAAAATTTAATAGAGCTACTACTCTCTTTTTTATGTATGTGACAGACAAACTATTCCTTTAACAATTATAGAAATAGTTTTCCCTTAATTATATTATAATTTTAGTTTATAGTCTTAGAATAGTATAAGATACAAAATCTTATATGTATCATACCACAAAATATCTAAGTAATACTTTTTCGTATCTAAGCGATAGTTTGATATCACGAAAAGAAAAATAATACACTTTCTTAGGTATCACGTCTGTAAGTGATAAATTTAAAATACAGAAATTAAATAATATATCAGGTATCCACAAGGGTGGGTTGAAAATAATTTTTATTGTTATTAATAATAAGTATTGATTAATTATCAAATTAATATTTTTTTAATATTTTGATAGATTTTTTAAAAATGTATTTCTACAATTTAAGCTAAACCATAAGACTTTCAAATATAATATATGGTATTTAATTGTATTTGCAATATCATAATAAGGTATCATGTCGACCACAATATTATATATACCAATTTATTTAAGACCCGAAGATTTTAATGCTCGTCCGATCGGTGGTGAAGTTTTTTTTGAAAATTAGCCACGTTTGGTCGTAGTTAAAGAACTGTAACTATTTAGGCACTAGTTGAATTTTTTGACACTAGCTGACTTGCCATGCTGACTCCGTCACGGAATAAATTGTTTGTTCAATAATTTCTCAATGTATCGACAATAAAAAAAATAAAATAAAAAATCAAATGTTCCTCGTAAAAGGGTCACAGTTCAAGAATCTGTAACTTAAACGTTACAACATTAGGATAATCGTTGTTCAAGTTTTTCAAAAAAATTAGTTATTATTATTTAATACGATTTTTTTTTAACTTTAAACTTTATGGTATGTTAAATTCTTTCCAAATAGAGTGTTAACGGACTGTATTTTATTTTAAAAAGGTTTTAAATTTTTTAGTGTACCAAATAAATGTAAAATAATTATTTATTTTTTTGTACAACTATTTTATTTTTATTCATTTTAATTTTTTTTTCAATGAGCGTAGCTAAATATCAATAAATTGGCTAGGAGCTGAGTAGTCTTATGACGAATGACCTCTTTGTTTTCGTATTACACTTTTTCTTACATTTTATGCTATTAAGATAGGGATCGAATATTGTTATTACCAAATAATATTATTATCAATATTATTACTATATTTAACCGTTGATTTTTTCAATCAACAGTTATCATTTATTGCGAATTAATAATTAATTAATGAGTTTAATTTGTGGAAATAATAATCGTTGATTGGCGAAAATCAACGGTTAAGATATGGTCGTGACATTGGTAATAACATTATTGGGTAGTAACAATATCATATTCTATTAAGATAAGAGAATAATATATCTAATGTTACTTTAGAAAACTTTGTCTAATGTTAAACGAAACGACGTCGTTTTGTGGTTGAAAGATTAAAAAATTAAAATGATGAAGACTATTATAATCTTGCAAAAAATTAAAATTATAAATACACCATAATTTTTGCTCCAAAATAATATTTTTTTGGTAAATATTAGACAAAATTTTCTAAATTAATGTTAAATTTTTTTCCCATCACGTGGGCCTCTCCTAGGAATCACCTTAATGTTAGCTCCTCTCTTCCTTCTCTTTTTGGGTTCGACCTCCTCTTGATTGGCTTAAGATTAATGTGGATGGAGCTGTCAATATGGGAAAGGCTGCTTGTGGGGGATCCGTTGAGATTCTGATGGTGTTTGAGTTAGTGGTTTCCAATCATTTTTGAATTTTTGTTCTCCTCTCAAAGCTGAATGACGAGCTATCCTTACAGGCTGTGAGTTTGCTTGGCAGCTAAGTACCAAAAAGGTTATTATTAAGAGTGACTATGCTCTTGCTATTAACTTGTTTACCAATATTGGTAAAGAAGCTCAAGAACTACCTCTTGTAGTGATACAGAATATGTTATTTATTCTGTATCATTAATCTGTTGTTAGTTTTCTAACTGGTAGTTGCTATGTAATTAGAAGTCAGTTAGTTTGTTAGACTAACCATGTGTAGTTAGTTAGTTTGTTACACTAACCATGTGTAGTTAGCTAGTTTGTTAGTCCAGTCACGTGTGTGACTATTTTATTTTTTGGTCTTTTGCTTTCTGCATATATAAGCAGTGTACTCTGCATATTAGATAGGTAAGGTACAAACTCTACTGTAACACCTTTTCTGTTTTTCATCAATGAAGCTTTCTCACGCTTCCACATACACTAAGATGGTATCAGAGCCTCACCGTCCCCCGCTTTAAAAAGTGGAATTAAAATAATAAAAAAAAGCACAAAAAGGTAAACCAAAAATGGGCCTGTGCAAGTTCCACGCTTCTAGCCTAAAGGGCTCTTGCGTGAGGGGGCGTGTTGAGATATATAGTCCCACATTGATTGGATGGGTAACTAATATGGCCTTTATAAGGCCTTGGGCACTCCCACCCCTTGAGCTAGCTTTTGGGGTGGTGACCTCAAGGTTCTTAATATGGTATCAGAGCTGAAAATGGCCTATTAGGTGCTAAGCCTGCCCCTTCTCCTATGGAATCATCTTTACGGCTTAGACAGAAAGAGGGAGAGCTGTTTCATGACCCTTTTGCATACAGAAGATTGGTGGGACGTCTTTTGTATCTTACAAATACGAGACTAGATATTTCTTTTGCTATACAACAACTTAGTCAATTTGTTGCTACTCCAATGAAGGCTCATCATGATGCAGCTTGTAGAGTTCTTCGGTATTTAAAGGCCTCCCCATCTAAGGGTCTCTTCTTTCCTGTTGAAAACTCTCTTATTCCTTCTGGATTTGCTGATGCCGATTGGGCTACATGCCCTGATACACGTAAATCAACCACCGGTTTCTGCATTTTCATTGGAGATTCTCTTGTTTCTTGGAAGTCAAAGAAGCAAAGTACAGTTTCAAGGTCCTCTGCAGAAGCAGAATATAGAGCTCTAGCAACTGTCACATGTGAGCTTCAATGGCTTTCTTACCTTCTTCATGATCTCCAAGTGCCTATGACTAAGCCTACTAATGTGTTTTGTGACAACCAGGCTGCCATCCATCTTGCTCACAACCCTTCTTTTCATGAGCGTAGTAAACACATTGAACTTGATTGTCATGTTACTAGAGAGAAGATTGTGGCTGGTTTAATACATTTGTTGCCTGTGTCTACTACTCAACAGCTTGCTGATGTCTTCACAAAGGCCCTACAACCAGCTCCCTTTCATGATTTTATCTCCAAGTTGGGGTTACTTGACATCCACCTTCCAACTTGAGGGGGGGGGGTGATACAGAATATGTTATTTATTCTGTATCATTAATCTGTTGTTAGTTTTCTAACTGGTAGTTGCTATGTAATTAGAAGTCAGTTAGTTTGTTAGACTAACCATGTGTAGTTAGTTAGTTTGTTACACTAACCATGTGTAGTTAGCTAGTTTGTTAGTCCAGTCACGTGTGTGACTATTTTATTTTTTGGTCTTTTGCTTTCTGCATATATAAGCAGTGTACTCTGCATATTAGATAGGTAAGGTACAAACTCTACTGTAACACCTTTTCTGTTTTTCATCAATGAAACTTTCTCACGCTTCCACATACACTAAGATGTAGTTAGGATTCGAGCTTGGATGGGTAAAGAATGGAATATTGAGTTTTTTCATGTGAAGCGCGATGGTAACAAGTGTGCTTATTAGTTAGCTAAGAAAGCTCTCTCCTACCCTTGGGGTTCTTATTGCTACCCTTCTTCAGCTGCTGCTGATCTACTTCTCCTTATCATCTCTGATCAAAAGGGTGTTGCCAGTAGTAGTAATAGGATCCCTGATTGATTTGTTTATCTTTTATGTGATGTTTTTCTTTTGCTTTCTTGGAGCTCTGCCCTTTTATTGTACCCAGAAAAAAAAAACTGATTACCAATATTTATTTCTGTGGCAATGTGCTTATTCACCTTAAGCATCGTCTCAAGTATGAATTTTGCTAATAAAAAAAATAAGTGTTAAAAGAGCTTTGTCCTATTGAATAGATCTATATATATATATATTTAACTTGAGTCAAATTAGTTAGAATTAAAATCATTAATAAGTCTATGATTCCATGTAAGTATATACTATAGTAACTTAATCCTTTCAAAACTTACATTTTTTTCATCCATTATTTATGTAAAATCTAAACATTTAAAATACAATTACTCTTTATAAATTAAAACTCAAAAGAGGATTAAAAATTTGATAAATTAATTGTAAACAAAAAATGAAGTAAAACTCATACATTATCAGCCCTATCTATTATTTAGGTTATAACACTTACACAAAAATAATAAAATATTTTTTAAACATAGTTAAATATATTTTCAATATATTTTAGATGAGTAATTAAACATTACTAATTTATAATAAATTAAAAAATAACATATTTTACTAATTAAAAAAGTCTTGCTTATTTTATAAAAAAATTACTATTTATTTTTTTAGTATATATTTAGATGAATTCAATAGTAAATAAATTTAAATTCCTTAAGTAAAAAAGAAAAAAATGTACATGAATAAATACTTTTATCTTTTGCAATATTATGTTCTTTTAGAATATTCTAGCTTGATTATACAAGTAAGAAAGATTGTAACAAAAAA